TCACCACTTTATATAGGTTGAGCATTCTGTCGTGGATTCTGCTCGGTACGTGTTCGAGCAGCTGAAAACACACATGGGCCTCGAAGGTGCGGTTACGCTCCAGCCGGGCCGTGCTTCCCTTGGATATGCCGTTTTCACATCCAGCGGGACCGCTAACGTGCACCACAAGAAGTCGCGACTGAAATATCATGTGCATATGTGGGTAGATGCGGTCAAAGCATGGGCGTCATAAACGGGGCTTCTGGATGGGGAGTAGTGGGGCGGTTGTGGGTGTGGGGGCTCACAAGTTTCGAACGCACCAAAACCCGTCAATAATCTGCGTTTGAGATGGTGCTGACGGGTGGCTGGACTGATACAGCTTAGCATTACGAGTGGGTGAGAACCAAACTCATCCTTCTCTTTCGGAAAGTCGAGACAGAGACCCGTGCGACAGTGAGAATAATAATTAGGGAATACTATCACATCGCAGTCTGTTTTTTGGGATTAACCAAGTCCCGAACTCGGCTTTCCCAGTCGACAAGGTTGGAGTGTCGTTCCACTTCTCTTCTAACGGCCGGAGGACTTTGGAGAGCTGTGTATAGATAAGCAAATAGCAGCGCATCTAAAGCAGTTGGGGCGCTAGAAAGGGATCGGCCAAGGCTTGTAAGGCTTGCTGGAAGACACAGGATGAAATTTCATGCGCACCTTGACCCGAGCAACCACTCATCTGTACCCAATCGATCGGAGAGGGACTGGATCGCTTTTCGGTATTTAAGGTGGACCGGGTAGCTCGGAATTTGAACTCCGGACGGCGGGAATGGTGTAGAAATCCCAGACAACGGGGCTGGCGGTGGATGAACAATGCTTTCTAGAGCCCGTCGGGGACCGTCTGAAAGGACGGTAGCCAAGGTATGTTCTTTCGGGTTTGCTATTTCCTGCGGAAGGCGTATATTGTTAACCGGTAACGGGGCGAGAACGAGGTCAAGTTCGTACAAGTTCTGAATGGACGGCACCCTCCAATAGTGAAACCCACGCTCGGCTTTCATCCCTAGCCTCCGCATCTTTGTATCCTTCCAAAGGGTCGATGGGACTATTTTGGACGGTATCTGCCCACATGGGGATACGCAACGTGCTGAGAAGCTTTCCGCTAGGTAGTTGTAAAGTCGGGAGGTGTCCACCAACACCAGCTTCTTCGGCCATATCCCAGCGCACATCAAAGTCCGTTATCCCTCTCAAGGAGAGGTAAGCCTGCCATTTCAGGCATTCGACGTCGTGACTGAAGTAGTCTTGTCCGTCCAATTCAAGTTTTCGTGGGGGTTGAATCCATAACGTTGGTTTGGTAATTTGCTTTGAGTATGGATTTTCCGGAGCTGGGTACGTATGAAGCGGGAAGAGAGCGAAAAATTTGCGAATCGGTGCTGGAACTGCAAATACGGAATTGGTGCTGCTCATGGTCGTTTTTCGGGGGTCGGACGTGGGAATGTAGATGTTCCAATTTTGCACGAAGGCCGAGCCGCGGCAAGGTGGGCCGTAGTAACCCCCCTCCCAAACGGGAATGCCTGTGACTGTTATCTTTATAAGATAACATCAAACTTAAAATGGAGATATGATAGAATGAACTCCTAATACGATTATAAATGAGGTGTCAAAGTGAATTCCTGGTTATGCGCGGTCTGAGCGCGGGCCACCCCTATCAAGCCAACTAAAAAAATTTCGAGCCGCCCAGAACTTCGGGAGTGGGTCAAAACGGAGCTTTAACGCTTCAAAAGAGCGAAATTTAAAGTCAAAAAGATTATATGACCGACGCAGGGGTTGAACCTGCAGCCTCCCGCTCTCGATTGCAGGTTCAATCCCTGAACAGGACATGAAATTGCATCGTAGGCGGACGCGCTGCCATTGCGCCAGACGGCCGTTGTGATATCCCAAGAGGTTAATTATATATGGCATGCAACCTGTTCCGCTAACTCCTTAACGCCGTTTCTCACATGCTTAGTATTGTTCTGCTCCAGTGCGAACCATGACCTCAAAATCCAGCATCGAAATTACCTATTCTTTCGACCTTCCTAGGGGCGTCACCTCTCCTCCGTCGTCAACTTCGCAATCAACGACTCACACGTACTCGTTCAACGTGCAGACAGGGACCGGAAACGGCGCTGCCTACTATGACTCCTTCCTCGACACGCTGAAAAAGGCTAGGGAAGTCACTGGAAAGGACATGACCGCTTGGAGAGATGCGGTTGGGGATGCAGAAAAGAACAAGGAAGCGGCGCTAAAGAAGCCGCCGTCTGACGAAGACGACGAGGATGAGGACGAAGGGGCGGAATGATGTGCGACTGAAGGCGACGTATTTGGTGTGTTTCGCTCGTTTTGTTCACTCGGTCGAATATTGATACAGTAAAACGAACCAAGGCCAGAGAGCTCTGTACTATTAAACCTTCTCCAAAATGACGGCGATACCCTGGCCACCGCCTGTAGGAAAGGACGGATTCATTAGACCATGTTTGATGGAGTCTCCATAACGAGCGTAACCGCTTACCAATACAAGCAGTCCCAAGAGCGTATTTGAGGTCTAGGCGGTGCAAGTTGTGCGTGAGGTTGGCCACGATTCGCGCACCGGATGCGCCAAGTGGGTGGGCGAGAGCAATTGCTCCACCTAACCATGTTGAGGCTAAGACCGAGGTCTACGCTGGGGAATGAATTCGGCCTCTTACCAAACATGTTCGCCTTTTCGCTTGAGAATCAAAGCTCCTTCTGCACAGCCAACCACTGGGCAGCAAAGGCCTAGCATTCGTCCGATGGATGAGTGACCATCTTCGCCATAAAATGATCATGTCACATACCTCGTTGAGCTCGATGATGTCAATTTCATCCAACGTCATACTTGCTCTCTTCAAAGCCTGCCTCACGGCCTCCACCGGTCCGATACCCATGATCGTCGGGTCGACCGCACTGATACCCCAGCTAACCACCCTCGCCAATGGCTTCACGCCTTACCGCCTCAACGCTTCTTCACTCATCACAACATTTGCCGCAGCACCGTCTCCCATTCCACTCGCGATTCCAGCTGTCACCGTTCCTCCCTTTTTGAAAACCGGGGGAAGTTTCGCAAGAGTTTCGAGCGTAGGTTCTGGTCGAGGGTGTTCGTCCACGCTGAAAGTTTCGACGCCCTTTTGAGTTGGGATGGTGACTGGAGCGATCCCGGCGGTGAAGGCGCCCGCAGCTCCTCGGTTTAGCCGTTTAATGAGACTCAGGGCTTGTGGGAGCACACTGTGTTGTGATTGATAAAGCCACTCCACTCGACACACTCAACACGCTTGGTCGAGTGGTCGAGCACTCAGCCTTACCCCGACCACCCGCGAGCTCCTCCAAAAGTCCTGATGCGCCTGAGCCGAATCAGGGGTATTCTCTGCTCCCATTTGCCTTGTATTTGTCTGCACCTTTTCATAAAGAATATCTAGTTCTTCGGACTGCGCCCTGAGTAAAATTCCAACGTAGAGCAATCTTAGGCGGACCTTGTGGCTCTGTTAGCGAACAATCGACGACCACAAGTGGACTTCAACTGAGCGCTTTGGCCATGCCAAACCCCAAAGCAACCTCCACTCTATATCTCTAGATTCTCTCTGGACTTGCCGAAATGCCACATTTGAAAGTAAAATGCTAATGTAGGCGGCTCTAAAGCTTCAGGGAAGCGGCGTTACCGACTTTTGGTTAGTGTTGCCGCCGGTTTCGGTTCGGTTCGCAAACTGGTTACACTTTCCAAGAAAGTCGGTTCGCGGTTCCGGTTCCAAACCGAACCAGAACCGAACCGCAATAAACCGGTTCTCAAATCGGTTCGACGGGGTTCAAGGGAGTTAGCGCCAACGCCCTGAACAGAAGCCGAGAAGCTGTATAGAGTACCCTCAAAGCGTGTAGATAATGCGATAGAGTAGTTGGACACGATTTATGCCAACATCTCTGTCAATGCGGGATATGTGATGGGGGGCGTTAGGCCGCGATGATGTCATTGCTCGGCTGGATTTGGAAAACAGACAGCTGGCCATCATTCAGGAGGCGATATCCGTGAAGCTCATATAGCATATAGACATTTGACCAAATTAAGCCCTAAAATATTACATGAGAACGAAAAAGAGTAATGTATCTTCCCATATAAGGCATGTGGGCCATGAGGTATCCAAGGAACCGATTTGGAACCTGTTCGGTTCGGTTCTTGAACCAGTTCAACCCCCGAGCAAAGTCGGTTTGCGGTTCTGGTTTCGAACCGAACCGAATCAGAACCGAACCGACCGAACTGGTTTTCAATCCGGTTCCTCTCGAACCGGCGGCAACACTACTTTTGGTGTAGCAACGGCGCAGAAATTTCCACGACGCGGCCTTCTGTAAACCACAACCCCCCCACGACTTCGATAACCCAAGCCCACAATGAGCTCTATTCACTCGCTCAAAAAACAAACATCCGATTTGGGAACGCTTCCGACTCCAGAACGCTTATCTCCAAGTCCCAGCCAAAGAATCGGCCAATCCTGTCCTCTGGACAAAGTGGAGGGATCGTTAACAATGAGGGAACCGCGCCCCTCTGAGCAATCTCTCCTTACTCCCCCGGTATTGAATCACATTTATTCCCTGAGATCTCGCTGACTCTCATCTTAAACTGGTATTTTAGATTACTTTGGAAACGAAACCAGCATTTCCGCCTCACCCAACAGTTGTCCTTGACTCACGATGGCCAGGCTGGGCACGGCCGGAAGAACACCTCCCAATCGCCACAGCAAGGGAGCTTCACGAAAGAGACGCACATTTGCGCGAGACCCAATCAAAGGCCGATGCAAACATCAACTATGCATATCAAGATCGCTCCTGGTCCAAGACGCTCCAGCTTCTACCTCGAGCGTCTGCTGTCTGGCTAACGTTAGTTCGGTCGAGGTGGCTGGTCGTCGAGACGACGAAAGGGAATCTCGAGCTCTGGGATATTGGAGGCTCTTGCGAGGAAAGGCCCATCGCTACCTTCGACGCCCTCCGTGGATCTGTAGACGGATGCTTCGTGTCCGGCGAGCCTAATGAGGTCGTAGAATTGTCTATATCCACAACGTGAGCTCTTATGCAGCTACAATGGCTTATTACTAAATTGGATGTCAGGTCCCTCTATGTTTATATATTCGAACTCGACCTGCCCCATCGGTGTGAAAACCGATTAGGGGCTCCAACTATGGTCCTCAAAGATATCCTTCCTGGTTGGGCGGCCTTAAAGGACAAGACGAAAGGAGTATGGGCCTTCGCTAAGCACCGAGGAACGACCAACCAAGGATTCTTGTACCGCCCCGGTCTTCCCCTTCCTTCAGTCCATCTTGCTTGCGCGAGCAACTTTGAGGAGGTAATGAACTCTATTCCTACCCCTTTTGCTGATGAGACGACTCTTGACCAAAATTTTATTTTTAGAATCAGAACGTCCTCAATATGCTCTTGCAGCCTAACGTTATTGCAGTCGCCCGAAACCGAAGTATCGATTTGTACAACCCGTCGAAGTTGGACACGCTGTTTGACACACAGAGCGAAGAATCCCTTCCTTACCTCACATTCGAGCACTCATTCCCACCCCCAAAGACTCCATCCATCTATCAGGCAAGACTTCTCCGGCGCAATCCTGCTGGTTTGAAGATAGTGGACGACGGCAGCATTGCGTACGCAAGTTTTCTCGATCAAGGTTGGCTCATCAGTGAAATCCGGTGCGACCTCGACCGAGACCATTCTGCACCCTTCCCAAAATACGAAATGCTCCAACCGATGCAAGTGGCCACAGTGGGCGGACACAACTTGACACTCTCATGGGGCGAATCAGGTTCTCGAATGGTCATCCTAGACGACTGGCAATTGATGATGAAGTTCGCAGCTCGCCATTGTCTCCCCGATGACCGTCCAGACCGCAGGGGCAGGCGTGACGTGAATGACGGTCGCATACTTGCCGTCTGGCCGATGCCGTTAGAATTGGGTGATATCCCTCGCTGTGTGGCGTTTGATGAAGCCACAGGTATTGCAGTGGCGGGGATGGCTTCAGGGAAGCTTCTTGTCGCGGACGCAGGAGAAATGGTCTTACCGTCACCAGGGCCCCGGCCCGATCCCGATGAACACACTAATGATTTTTGTTCGCCATACATGCGTCTTGTGAGTCATACCTTCTTTCATGGGATCTTCGGACTGAGGTTTGACTTCTCTTGGAACAGAAGATGGCCGAGTCACCTCATCCTTCCTCCACGAAATGGCTCGGTGTAGCTCTCAACCCTGCTATGCACAAACCGCGCAAGATCAAGTCGCCCCGCTCGGCTTCTGATTTTCCCCCCGGATGGACTCGGGAGGTCGAGTCATACTATCCTTTCGCTAACCATCCTGGTTACTATCTCAGCATTCCCTGGCTCATTCATGACGTTGCTGGGATTCCTTTCGACGCACGTTGCATTATGGTCTCCTCCAAAAGGATCAACCCCACTAAAGGCGAAAACGCGGCGATCATTGAAGTCGAGGTCGAATTCGGTATTGGTGGTAGGCTTCTTCTCCTTTTGTGGGCGAACGAGGGCATCGACTGGGACTTTTTCAAATTCCGGCCTCAAGTTACCAGCGACAATATCGTCGACTCCTTGAACAAGGGGGTTGCATTGGGGACACTCTGCGACCCAGATCCGTTGCGTTTGGATCCACTTATTTTAGGGCAGTGGCAGGTCGGGGACATCCGCCTTCAGACTGCTGAGGAGATGAAAAAACTGTTCCCTTCGCCATGTCCTTGATAGATATCATGTCGTTTCTCAAATGTAAAATACAACTAGCTGATTCACGCATTCACTGTGGGGTTCCCTTGTCATCCGAAGACTACAGGGACCACGGTTTCATACACCACACTCCCAAGAGTGCTAAGCCTTGGAAGG